GCAAGTAAGGGCATTTATTACCAGCTAAAAGCATCTACCAAGGGAAATCAATGAAAACCGGGTTTGATGTAACAGAAATGTAATAGAATCTGAGTATTATACAATTACAATAAAAAAAACTACATTGCAGAGCCAGCAAGGAAGATATAGGTCGGCTCTTTAGTGACCGCAAGATAAATGTTCCAATTCAACCAAGCATTAAATATAGCATATGTCAGTATACATACACTTGACTTTTAATGTATAGTAAACTCTAAATTTGAAAGCTATATGAATGGAAGAGGTCTTGATTTCCAATCAACTTGAAATCTAACAAACATAAAGGTCACAAAAAAGAGTAATGTAATCCAATGGTGCCATTTGCAAGAGATGAAATGTACAAAAAAAGTTCCCGAGGGATAACTATTATACCAGGTGTAAACAGATCCTTCACATAATTTATGTATTTTTCTTTCCAAGCAGCCCATATATATATATATATATATATTTGTCAAGCCATATAAATTAAAATTGAAGTATTGAATAGAAGTCTCTGATTAATCACAACGGTGGTGTTACATATACCAATTAATATACACACTAGTATACCAACTAGTGTTATGCCATTATTAGTATTATTGACCCCACCTATTATACAAATTACAAATACCCAAAATCTCTAAAATTATGTCACATCATCTGTTATTACATTAATTGGTACATATAGCATTATTCTAATCACAAGTACAAAAAATAAAAGAAAAAATCTTCCACAGTTTATCTCGTTTGAGCAATTTTCAAGACACTAGCAAATTGCACATTATTATAATTTGGCATTTTGGTACTGTAGCTAGCCAAACTTTGGTTTTGACAATGCTAAAATGTCATGTATCATTGGAGATGCTCTTAGAGTTATAATCAAGTGTCAATGTCCCCCTCCCTCTGAATTAGTAGGCCTAGTGTGGATGATTTTCATCAATATTTGTAATGAATCTAGACTCCAGGGAAGATCGGCATTTGACTATAAATGTAGGTATTCAACTGCTATAATTGAAAGATAAGAGATCAAAGTGAGATTGAATATAAAGTGTAGGGTGCAAAGTGTAATTTACACCTGAGAGGGAAGTTTGTGACCGAAACTTTGGGCCGAACTGGTTAGGCCGGAATCAGGAATTTATGCTTGGCCTGTCTTAAGTGCGTATTAAACCGAGGTCTTATTCTAGTTGGGAGAGAATAATGGTGGATGATCGGTCCAAGAAGTTATGCACCATTCAGAGCTGGGCTAGATTAGTCTTTTTGGCATGGTGAACCAAGCTTCTGCTGTAGCCAAGGAGCTCGATTGAGCCATGGTACAGACCGTTAGAGAAACCGGACAAGCAGCTCGATTGTTGAGTGATGGCATGGCTCCGTATCGAGCGTATCTCGGTTAAGAGTGCTATGCGGCGCCATGAGACTACAGGAAGGGGATTGCACTATCCGTGCACGTTGAAGCCGTTTGGCGGTTTTGTTAGGTGGTGTTTAGTTGTATTTGCGCTGATACGTGGGAGTAGGGGAGAAGAGAGCAGGTCCACGCGTCCAATGGTGAGTGGACTCAAAAACACGCGCATAAGCTATATAAATGGAGCTGCGTCCCCAAAGTTAGGTCTAGATCTTCCTCTGATAAGAACTCACCTACCACTTTGTCTCTCTCTCTCTCTCTCCCTGAGTGTGCTAACTTGATCGTTAGAGACGTTTTCCGACAACACACCGTCGGACAGCACACCGCCGGGTAACTTACCGGAGAGAGCTTTCTCAAGTCAATCGAAGTATAGCGTAGCTTGGACACAAGGAGTACGGGTAACGTCGAATATTTGGCTTCCGTATAATTGGCGCCGTCTATGAGAAAGCTCTCTTTGGTAAACAAAACCTTGTCCTCCAGGCTTTTCCAATCATCTTTCATAGCGAACAACAACGACGTACCATTGTCCGCCATCGACGGTATCACCCCGAAGTCTGTCCAGAGAAGAGATAGTCTTCCTATCATCCCTGCCATGGCTGGTTTGGAGACCTCTCCTAGAAAACTCCCCAAAGATGCGCGAGATAAGCGCACAAGGAGTACTAATCACTCGCAGAGCCCCAACGGGCACCGGCAGCGAAGAGAATCGCATGCTCAGCGCCTCAAGCATAAGTTGAGAGATCAAGACGCCATTATTCGAAGGATAGTGGCGGAGATGGAGGCACTAAAGCGGCAGGTCAAAGGGAAGGGTGTTGCTGGAATGGGTGACCACAGTGAGTGCCCCAACCTCATCGCTCAGGCAGCCAGAGCCAACGGCGGACGCCCTCACTCTCCATCACTAGAAACTATGGGGTTGGAGACTCTGATCCACCAGCAGAGAAGTCTAGTGCGCAAGATAGTAGTTACCGTCCCTCACGTCCGTCGACGACGTCGAGATATTCCTACTCTGCCCGTCGGAGGACCTGAGGGACGTCTTGGAAGAACGGGCGCGCCGACAGGAGGCGCAAAGGGTAACGACGCTGTAGCGATTATCCCGTGGAAGTCACGCTAGTGAGGAGGTGTTAATGCCGCCACCATAGCTAGCTGCACTTGTCCCTTTGGACAGAGACTTGGCAAGGCTGAGCGCCACCCCATTTTCCCTTGAGATAGAGATCACACCGCTCCCTGCAGGCTTCCACCAGCCCAAGTTTACGTTCTATGACAGTAAAATCGATCCGTACATGCACGTAAGCCACTTCCGGCAAGTTATGGCTGGATACAGGCGTAACGACATTCTCATGTGCCTTATTTTCCCATCAAGTTTGACCAAGTTGGGCCTGAAGTGGTTTGAGAGGCTACCAGAGGAAATTATCGAAAGATGGCAGTAGTTGGCAGAAGCATTCGTGACCCGATTCAAAACTAACACCAAAATGCCAAAGGAGGTTGACCACCTTTTGAGCTTCAAGATGGAATCGGGCGAGTCCCTCAAAGCATACAATGCCAAATATTAGGAAACCTTCAACGAGATCCTTGATTGCCTGACTAACCTGGCAATCACCCAATACAAGCGCGATCTCCCGATCGGACATAGACTGAGGGACTCGCTCACCATGAACCAACCGACTACCATGGAGCTATTGATGCACCGCATCAACGAGCACATCCGCATAGAGAATGATGCAACCGCGGCCACCGTAAAGGCGAATCCGGTGGCAACGGACAAAAGGGTGGCTGGAAAAGTTCACGCGGTCGAACAAGAGGCAAACCGTCCGAGTGACCGCGCAATAGAGTCAGACCATGGTGCAGATCGCAGTAATTGAGGTAAAGGTCGCCGCAACGACCGTGCTGATCACCCCCGCGATGTTGCGACAGATACGAATAGAAAGTTGAATGCCCGAACAAGCATCACTACGGTTTTCAAGATCTCAATTTACCACATCCTTAGTGAAATTCGCGACGAGGTGTATGTCTGGTTTCTGGAAAGTTGGGCGATACGGGGAAGGGCTTCAATCCGTGGTATCGTTGCACCTTTCATGGTAAATGAAGGTACCGTATGGAGGACTGTTTGCCTTTGAAACAACACTTGGAGGAGTCGGTCGCCGCTGGTCACTTGGACGAGGTAACAAGGCCGCGCATCATGCTTCGGCTAAGTCAAATGGTTTGGCTGCCCTAGAAGCACCACCCCAAGGAGTGGTCAATGTGATCTATGGTATCATCGAGCCAGAGCGGGTATGCGAGCTCCGAGGGATGATAAAAAAAGTAGAACATATGAGAGAGGTCCTGTCTATCCAGCCCACGGCCAAAAGGAGTAGAATCGATGAGCAAAATGTGCTAAGTTTCTTAAATCGAAAACTTAAGCAGATTCAAACACCGCAAAATGACGCTCTGGTAGTGTGACCCTTCGCGTCAGGGACTTTGACGTTAAACACATTTTGATCAACCAAGGTAGCTCGGTCGAGATCATGTACTACGACGCCTTCAAGCAGCTCAAACTAAGAGATACAGATTTGGCTCCGGCAACTTCACCGCTGGTTGGTTTCAACTCGCAACCGGAGTGGCCCATGGGAAAGATAATCCTACCGGTCAAAGCCGGATCCGTGGTCAAGCAAATGGAGTTCTGGGTGTTAAAAGTGCCCTCCACATACAATATGATCCTAGGTAAGAGATGGCTTCACGCCATGCAGGCAATGGTATCGACCTACCACCAAGTTATGAGGTTCCCCTCTGCTACATGGGTGATTAAAGAGATTTGGGGCGATCAAGTCATGGCCGAGCAGTGTTTCGTGGCCGTGAATGGGAGCCGAGCAGCCAAAGGCTTCGTATAAATGATCGAAGGTCCAAAAAATCAAAGTGTCCTGGATGATGTGGGCACTAGGGCCGAAGAAAAGGTTGTGGAAGATTTGGTAGAGATGTGGTGGATCAGCGAAAACAATCCAAACAAGTTCTTTTTGTTAGGATCTAGCTTGATCACCCAAGAATGGCTGGAGATGATGGAGTTCTTGGTAGCGAATATCGAAGTGTTTGCATGGACGCCTAACGACATGCCTGGCGTCGATCCAAACTTTATTTGCCACCAACTCAATGTTTTTCCAGATGCCCGGCCTGTTATTCAAAGAATGCAGAGATCAGCCCTTCATCACACCGAGGTAGTGGCAGAGGAGGTCAAAAACTTGCTTAAAGCAAAGGCAATCCAGGAAGTGCATTACCCTCGGTGGGTTTCTAACACGGTCGTGGTACCAAAGAAGAATACAAAATGGTGAGTCTGCGTCGACTACAAGACGGTCAACCGAGCTTGCCCCAAAGACAGTTTTTCTTTGCCCAAAATCGACCACCTTGTGAACCTTACGGACACAATCGACTCAGTTTCTTGGATGCATACCGCGGTTATCACTAGATCGCCATATATGAGCCTGACCAGGAGATTACCTCTTTCACAACACCGAGGGGATTGTTCTGCTACAGAGTCATACCTTTTGGCTTAAAAAACGCTGGGGCGACCTTCCAGAGAATGGTGACCAAGATGTTCGCCCCACTGCTCGGACGCACGATGGAGACTTACATCGATGACATGGTCGTCAAAAGCAAACGTGAGGCCGACCACTTGACCGACCTAGCAGAGATGTTCGCCATTCTTAAACAACACAAGCTGCGTCTGAATGTGTCAAAATATGCCTTCGGCGTAGGCTTAGAGAAATTCATGGGTTTTCTGGTCACCAACCGAGGCATTGAGGCGAACCCCTTCCAAATCAAAGCCATACAGGAATTGAAGCTACCCAACTTAGCAAAGGACATGCTACATCTTGCCGATATGACAGCCGCGCTTGACCGATTTATAAGCCAATCATCAGATCGTTGCCGTCCTTTTTTCCAAGCCTTGAAGTCTAAGTTTTTATGGAACGAAGAATGTGATAAAGCCTTGGCTGAGCTAAAGACATATTTGTCTTCTGCCCCACTCTTGGTCACGCCAAAGCACGACAAAGAACTCTACCTTTACCTGGCTGTTTCTCAATATGCTGTTACCGCGGTTCTCGTCCGGGTAGAAGGCACCCAACATTTACCGATCTTCTACGTAAGCAAAACCTTGCTCCCAGCGAAGTCGAGATACTTGCCGCTGGAAAAACTTGCTTTGGCATTAATGATGGCCTCTCAAAAATTGTCACATTACTTTCACGCTCACACGATCGTGGTGCTAACCGAGTTCCCTTTGAAAGCCTTATTTGAACGGGCGGACTTCTCTGGCCGAATTCTGAAATAGGCAGTCGAGTTGGGGCAATTCGACGTCAAGTTTTAACCCCACATAGCCATCAAAGCCCAAGCATTGACAGACTTTGTTGCGGAATTTTCGCTTGGAATTCATCCGATTTGCTCGGTGGATCTTACCGAGGCAACCGAGCAGATGAAGGTAAGCATGGCGAAAATTATTGGCGATGCAGAAATTGCGCACCCGTCTATAAACCCATCACTTTAAGGTCTAGTTCAGCCTGGCAATGCGACGTTGAATTTGGAAATAACAAGTCAACCTATTGGATCCAGCACCACATCACCAAGAGGGGATGGAGGCCCATTTGTTGCAATCGTTAACGGCACGCTTGCAGCAGAAATAACCGAGCAGCCGAGCAACCATGATCACCTAAACCTTCAAACATCCCAGTATCCCTCAGAATGCTGGAAACTTTTCATTGGCGAAATGTGGAAACTTTTTGTGGATGGCGCCTCATACCGGCATGGAGCCGGGCTAGGCGTAGTTTTGATCTCGTTAGACGGACTAACTATCGAACATTCCATCACGTTCGGGTTTCTAGCATCAAACAGCGAGGCTGAGTATGAAGCACTGCTAGCCGGACTGAAAATCGCGCTCCAATTGCGAGCATCCGAGCTAATGGTCTATAGCAACTCTCAACTCATTGTAAACCAAGTATCTAGAGAATATGAAGCCAAAGATGACAGGATGGCCAAATACCAAACTCTGGTGAGAGAACAAATCAAAAAGTTTCAAGCCATAAAAGTTCAACAAATTAGCCGAGAAGATAACACCGGGGCAGACAAGTTAGCCTGTTTGGCTTCCATATCCGACAAATCAACCCCCGGCCCTCTCTTGATTGAATTCCTCCAAGGCCCAGCATTGAAGACTCACACTAGATAGAAGTTCTATGCACCGAGCTAGGTCTTTTTGGGATGGACCCTATCATCCTTTTCCTCAATGAAAGGATCCTGTCGACCGACAAGAAAGAGGCACACAAATTTGAGTGAAGTCTGAGCGGTTTTGGCTCTCTCCATCCGACGCTTTATACAAAAAGTCATTCACCGGTCCATACCTCAAATGCGTTCACCCACACAGAGTCGATACTTTTCTTTATGAGATCCATAAAGGAATGTGTGGGAGCCACATCGGCGGGAGATCTTTAGCCTACCGCGCTATTTTGCAAGGCTACTGGTGGCCGTGCATGCAGTGCTAGAAGTTTGCCCACCAAATTCATCAGTCGGCTAGAGAGCTCCTTCCTCTCACGAGTCCTTGGCCTTTAGCAATAAGGGGGCTTGATATAGTGGGACCACTCCTAACTGCGCCGGGGAATCACAAGTTCTTTATAGCGACGACTGACTACTTTACCAAGTGGGTTGAAGCCAAGCCCTTGGCGACAATTAAAGAAAAAGATATGAAGAAATTTGTTTAGTAGAATGTAGTAACACTGTTTGGCGTCCCCAAGGCTTTGATCTCCAACAACGGCACTCAATTTGATGGACGGTTGTTTAGTGGATTTTGTGAGGAACTAAAAATAGAATTCTATAATTCCACCCCGGCCTACCCTCAGTCCAACGGCTAAGCCGAAACGTCAAACAAGACCATTCTAGATGGGCTAAAAAAAAGATTAGAGAAAGCCAAAGGAAAGTGGGCCGAGGAACTTTCAAATGTTCTCTGGGCTTACCGAACAACACCAAGACGCTCAACCGGGGAGACACCGTTCACCTTGGCATATGGTATGGAGGCAGTCATCCCATTGGAGATCGATATGCCCACCGTCTGTAGCAAAAATTTTAAGCCCGACCTGAACGCCGAAGCCATTGCCTTAGAATTGGACCTAATAGAAGAGCGCCGAGAAAAGGCCTTGATCCATGTCGCAGCATATCAACAAGAACTATCCTGGAAGTATAACAAAACGGTTCACCCCAGACCGTTCAAAGTTGGGGATTGGGTCCTAAGGAAGGTGATGAGCAACACCCTAGTGCCGAGCAAAGGAAAACTGGGGGAAAACTGGGAAGGGCCTTACAAGACCACCGGTCTGGCAAGCAAAGGGGCATACCATCTGAAAGACTTGGATGGCAAAGCTATGCCACGGCCATGGAACACAGCCAATCTGAAGTTGTTTTATTTTTAGTTCCTTTCTTTCAATGTAATTTTTTGTGAAGGGTAAACATTCCTCTCGATTTACCAACGTAATTTTTCTCCTCGCCTTGTAAATTCATGAATGTAATAGCAAAGAGTTATCGTGCTTAGCCAATTTGTTGTGATTAATGGATTGTGCAATGAACAAGGGGCAATTGCTCCCAACCAAAATGATTTTGCTCGGCCAATTGAGTTGATGAAGTATTCAACTCTGTTCTTATAACCGAGATGATTTTGCTTAGTCAAATGAGTTAGTGAATTGTTCAACTCCAAGATTCTAGTCAAGATGATTTAGCTCGGCCAATAGAGTTGATGAAGTGTTCAACTCTGTTCTTGTAACCGAAATGATTTTGCTTAGTCAATTGAGTTGGTGAATTATTCAATTCCAAGATTCTAGCTGAGATAATTTAGCTCAGCCAATAGAGTTGATGAAGTGTTCAACTCTGTTCTTATAACCGAGATGATTTTGCTCAGTCAATTGAGTTAGTGAATTATTCAACTCCAACATTTTAGCCAAAATGATTTAGCTCGGCCAATGGAGTTGATGAAGTGTTCAACTCTCTTCTTATAACCGAGATAATTTTGCTCGATCAATTGAGTTGGTGGATTGTTCAACTCTAAGATTTTAGCCAAAATGATTTAGCTTAGCCAATCGAGTTGATGAATTGTTCAACTCCAAGGTTTTAGCCAAGATGATTTTGTTTGGCCAATGCAGTTGATGAATTGTTCAAATCTATGATTTTAGCTGAGATGATTTTTGTCCAGCCATCGGAGTTGATAAAGTGTCCAATCCCGTTATTTTAACCGAAATCATTTAGCTCGGTCAATTAAGTTGATGAATTGTTTTACTCCGTTCAATTGATTTTAGCCGAGATGCTTTTACTTGGTCACAAGTCAAAAGTCATTTTTACTAGGTAGACTCGTTATGTTTCACTTTTTAACCGAGATGATTTTCCCTAGTTCAATCAGTGGGTACTTTTTTCGGCACAGATTGCACGGTTGTAGGGAAGACACATAACATACATTGCAAAAATACTCGAGATAAGTTGTTAAAAACTTTCATTAATTGAACATTTAAATACATGAGGTGGGGCTTGCAGCCTGATTACAAAAATTCAAAGCACAAAAATGGAGCATTAATGGCTACGCTAGGGAGGACCACGGCAGCTTTTTCTTTGTCGCTGGGCTTCTTCTGTCCGGCCTCATCCTCGGCCTCTTCTTCGGCCTCCTCTTGCAAAGAGTTGAAGACTTTATTGGCATAGGGTATCAAATAGACCAGCAGGAAGGCTGGAGGATGAGAAGTTAACACCTCGGTCTCAGATCCTTGGCCAAGTTTTTCACAAGCAGCCTTCCAACTGGATTTGAAGTAGATGTCCTTGGTAGCTTTAACTTGTTTAATATAGTTGTCTTCGGCCTCATTGAAACCAAGGTTGTTGGCCTCATCCACGGCGTTCTGCCTTGCTTGCTTTTCAGCTTCTAGCTCGACCTTCAGAGCATCCTTCTCTTACTCGGCCCTACCGAGCTAGCCAAGAATATTAGCATTGTCAGCATTAGCAATCTCAAGAGAGGCCTTAGTTCAGCCAAGTGCGTATTGGCCCAAGATCTCGACCAGGCCCAAGTTTAAACCAATCCGATGGTTCAGCTCGGCTACGTCGTTTATGATCCTGAATGCGTTGGTGGACACTTGTGTTGGAGCGAGCCTGGTACGTCTCAGGAACTCGCAGATCAAGAGTCGCATAGGGAAGCGTAACCCCCCTTCGACTATGCGTAGCAAGGTGAAAGGCAGGACTCCAGCCTACCCCATGGGTTTGTGCCCTCTTCACCAAGCTTCAGATGCATGTCAGCTGGAATGCCATACACTTCTCGAAACGCGGCCATCGCGCCTGGCGTATTGACAAGGAAGTGGTAGCGCCCCATTGGAAAGCCAGCTTGTTCAGCACAGCAATGTTAAGTTTGCAAAATTTTGCACGGTGGTTGCTCAGTCTTTGAGAGCCCCTGTGTGGATGTCTAGTCCCCTAGGACTCTGCAGTGAAAAACCAAGTGTAAAGGGTTGTTTGGGATGTTCTAAATAAGTGCATTTTTTGACTTTTTACGAAATATGGGTTGGGTATGGTTGGGGTTGAAGTGATGTGGTAGAGAGGTGATATGACTTAAATAAAATGATGTAACTTAAATAGGATAGTGACTTTTTGGTTTTTTGGCTTTTTTAGAGGATGACAAACAAGGCCTAAGTGATAGCGCAAGCGCGCAAACGAGCTCGATTTTAGCTTGTCACTATGGGGATAATGGCACCGCGGTCCCAATTTTAAGCACAACAACCCAGTCGCTCGAACAGACTAGATATTAGCCTGATCGAGCAGCTCAATGCGTTTAATATCTCAGTTTTGCCCCTAAGTTCTACAAACAAGAGACTTGCTCGGTTAAAGCATGATTTAAGATCAAACTGAGGTTTGTAGCCCAGTCAATCCCAGATCCTCACACCTTCATCACAGACGATGGTGAACAGTATCGAAGATGAGGGGCGAAGACGTTTTGTGTCTTCTAAATGGGACGAAAACCCTAGTCTAACCCCATTTTCAGCATTTTGTTGCTACTATTATCCTACCCTAAGACTCATCTATGGAAGTTAGGGTTTAAGAGCATAAAAAATAAAGAGAAAAAAGGAGCACGAAGAACTGGCGAAGAACAGAAGAGGAGTTAAAAACTTACAGGTTAGGGCACAGATTGAAGCTCCAAACGGTGAAATGAAGTTTCAGTGACAGCATCAAGGTTGAATTCCCTCGAGAGACAGCTTTGATTCCAGTAAAACAGACAAAAATTAGAGGCTGGGTATGCTCTGGAAGGATGTCTGAGAGGAAGATGGACAGTAAGAGAAGAGATATAAAGGGCCACACGATGTATATATAAGGGAAAAAAAAGCGCCAAAATTTGAACTTGAAGAGACGTCATAAGGCGGTGGGGTTGGTTGTACGAAGCTAATGAGTGGAGGACACGTGTCTATAACAAGATCGGTGTCTGTCTCGAAAGGACAATTTGAAAAATCAAAGCGCCAGCCAAGCAAGTCATGGGACTTAGCGTGAAATTTAGCATGGTAAATGACTTGGGGAGAAAGACTGAACAGATGAGCGATCTCGGCCGAAGAATGTAATTACGGTCACGCTAGCGCGGACGGAATTAAGGGGCAATTGAGAGGGAGGTTTGTGACCGAAAAATTTGGCCGAGTTGGTTGGGCTGGAATCAGGAGTTTCTGCTCGGCCTGTCTTAAGTGCATATTAAACCGAGGTCTTATTTCGGTTGGGCGAGAATAATGGTGGATGACCGATCCTGGGAGTTATGCACTATTTAGAGCTGGGCTGGATTAGTCTTTCCCGCATGGTGAGCCGAGCTTCTGCTGTAGCCAAGGAGCTCGGTTGAGCCATGGTACGAAGTTGTTAGAGAAACCGGACAAGTAGCTTGGTTGTTAAGTGATGGCATGGCTCCGTATCGAGCGTATCTCGATCAAGAGTGCTATGCGGCGCCACGAGACTGAAGGAAGGGAATTGCACTGTCCGTGCACGTTGAAGCCGTTTGGCGGTTTTGTTAGGTGGTGTTTAGTTGTATTTACGCTGACACATGGGAAGATGGGAGAGGAGAGCAGGTCCACGCGTCCAATGGTGAGTGGACGCGGAAGCACACGCAGAAGCTATATAAAAGGAGTTGCGCCCCCAAAGTCATGTCTGGATCTTCCTCTGATGAGAACTCACCTACAACACTCACTCTCTCGCTCTCTCTCTCTCTCTCTCTCTCTCTCTCTCTCTCTTTTCCTCTCTCCTTGAGTGTGCTAACTTGGTCATCGGAGGGGTTTTCCGGTAGCACATCGCTGGGTAACTCACCTTCATTGTGTTCTCAGGTCAATCGAAGTATAGCACAGCTTGGACACAAGAAGTACGGGTAACGTCAAATATTTGGCTCCGCAAATCAGAGGCCACCAATTTCTATATATATGATCTTATAGTGCATAGTCAGACTACAACAAAAAAGAGAAAACAATATAGTCATGTCCAGTAAGTTCTTCCTTTCTTTTCTAGTGATTCTAGCTGCCACCATGCAAGGAACTCATGCAGTCGAATTCAATGTCACCAACAATGTACCAAAAACCCCCGGAGGAATCCAGTTCACAAATGAAATCGGGCTCAATTACACCCAGTGAACACTAATCTCTGCCACAGATTTCATATGGTGCGCCTTCCAAGAGAACATCGATGCAGACAGAAAGAACGTGGCGAAAGTGAGCCTGTTCATCGACACAATGAATGGCGTCACCTACACAAGAGATGATAGCGTGAATTACATACAAGGGTACTTGGGAGATGTTAAAACTGAGATCACCGGGGTGGTGTATCATGAGATGACGCACGTGTGGCAGTGGGATAGGAGCCCCCAAACTGTTGCTCCTGGAGGACTGATAGAAGGTGTTGCAGATTTTGTGAGGTTGAAGGCAGGATATGCACCAAGTCACTGGGTAAAGCCCGGGCAAGGAAACCAGTGGGATCAGGGTTATAATGTTATAGCCCGGTTTTTGGACTATTGTGACAGTATAAGAAATGGGTTTGTGGCAGAACTTAACAAGAAGATAAGAAATGGTTATAATGCTGACTACATGGTTGAGCTGCTGGGAAAGACAGTTGATCAGCTCTGGAGTGACCATAAGACCAAGTATAGCAACTAGACATGTTCTATAATGGGCATATGAGTCATGTATGAATACACACTGAAAAGTATTTGTACAACTGATTTTCTATTATGAATAATAAACAAATTGCTTGAATAAAGAGAGTAGAATATCATCCAGATTACTCTACCAAACTGTGAGTTGTACAAGAATAGGAAGACAAAACCAAAACTCAGTAATGGAGAGACAAAGCATCATACAAGAATAGGAAGACAAAACCAAAACTCAGTAATGAAGAAACAAAGCATCATTCACGATTTCTGCCAGTATCAGAGTCTACAGTTAAAGTTAATTAAAATAATAATAATAATAATAATAATAATAGATAAATAAATAAATCTAATGAACAATGTGAGTTCAATTCATTTCCAACAGCTAAGACAGGAAACTTCAACTTCATGGTTTCAGATAACTAGACCTTGATGCAAAAAGGATCCTACATGATCAACGGCTATGATGCACAGTCATACATTAAAATTGAAGAATTGAATAGAAGTAAAAGTAGTACAAAAAATAAAAAAATCTTCCACCATTTACCTCGTTTGAGCAAATTTTCAAGACACACCAGCAATATTTACATTTAAAATATATAAATTATATTCCAATATCTCAGCATCAATTTTTGTAATTAATTAGGTTATAGATATTACACACACCACAATTTTATTTGTTTCTAAAATTACAGATTAGATCAAACAATTATTGACTTGTAGTTATCTAATAGCAACTTCTATAAATACAATTTCAACAAGGGGAACCTGTATACATATTGTCTTTTGAAATGGGAAACCTATGATGATGCATCAAAACCATCCTCACAGAGTTCAACAGATCATAATTATTTCTATATTTGCTAAGATGGTACATTTATTTGACTACAAACTTAGGTCAATTCTGTTTTCCTAATTCAGGACTTAACCAAAACAAAGGAGACTCTTTGTGTTTGTATCCATGTCTAAAACAGAGTAGACTATTTGTGTTTTTATCCATGTCTTTGCATGTAGGTCATTGTCAAGAGGCCGGCATGCTCACTTCCAACATTCTGTCTCAATCAAACGAAATCAAATTTCAAAAGATGAGAGATATTATGTTTTTCAAAAATTTCATAAACCTAGCTTCATTAAACATACATTTGGATGATCATACTTAATTAAACATTAAAAAAATCATATTATTTTCATTTTTATGGTTTTACACATGGCTGAACAAACCACCTCTAGTTCAAACAGAAATATGCAGCCTAGTCAATGCAAGGCCTAAAGGTCCGATAATAGGTGTGCAAAGTGGTTTCACAGCATTTATCAATGTTCTTAAAGTTGAACCAACTTGTTATTAAATTTATATGTAAGCTTGACAAGGAATAATATTCAACAACTAGGATCCATTTCTTGTGTATTGTTTATGAGTTCAGCCAAATATGTTACATAATCGTTGTATCATATTGTTTGTTGCTTACTAAGACGGCATTTTGAATATTGTTAACAAATTGAACATTTGTAGTCTCTCCCCTGCGTTTTAGTCAAGATTCAGGATATGAAGAATGTGTTGTTCTGTCCTACCCTTCAGCAGAGTACAAGGCATGATTTCATATGCCAACTAACTAACAAACAAACAAAATTTCCAATCCATTTAGAATTGCTTGCTAAACTTCGACTTTATTTATTTTAAGTGTTCAGTACTCTACTACCTCATACCTGCTGATAAGCTCCTAGTTCATTTATTTTCCTTTTCTTTTCTAAATAAAATACCACACTTCTAGACTAACCCTTTATATAACAAATTAACAATAGATACATGACACCACCTCCACTCATACAAGAAAACAAACACTTCACAACCACTTCTCGCTGGAATTTCTTGTCTCTTCTAGGAACAATATTTTCCACTAGCTCCTTTTTTAAACTATTGTAATGGGATGAGAAATGGGTTTGTTGCAGAACTTAAGAGAAAGATTAGAAGCAGTAATAACAACTATTTCGTTGAGCTACTGGAAAAAACAATTGATCAGTTCTGGAGAAACTACTAGGAGCCAACAAACATAGGAGATGGTTAAGTCCATGCATAACCCTCCCTGTCACGTGTCGATCCTACATTGCAAGAGAGTGACTGTCACGATTCAAACCCGTCTCTATAAGTTTAGCATCGTAACCGGCCAGTAATTCGAGATTACCAAAAGCCTATTAAACAGTAATACAGTAGTAGGGGCTGACAGAAGCCAATAATTAATCAAATAAAACGTCTAATGAGCTATGAAGACTTAAATGGGACAGAATGAACTTACATATATATACATACATAAATATACGTATCAAACCATTACAGTCACAAAAACATAACCAAAACTCAGGAAGTTAATCAGACAAACAAAACCAATCTTGTCAACATTCAAATCACATATAGCACTAGTTCACCATACAAAAGGGTAAATTCTACACCACCCATGAAGCTTTGAAGCTTGACTGGTTAAAACCTCGCGATGAGGCTCAGAGGTTGGCTTGACAAAAAGGCAGAGACCAAGTAGACGCCACTAAGTCCCATCCTGTCCTTGATCACCTACATACATATTTAAAACAATGAACTAAAACCCAGTGAATAACTACAGAAGCCAATAATTAATCAAATAAAACGTCCAATAAGTTCTGAAGACTTAAATGGGACAGAATGAACTTACATACATATATATACATAAATATACGTATCAAACCATTACAGTCACAAAAACATAACCAAAACTCAGGGAGTTAATCAGACAAACAAAACAAATCTTGTCAACATTCAAATCACATATAGCACTAGTTCACCATACAAAAGGGTGAATTTTACACCACCCATTAAGCTTCGAAGCTTGACCGGTTGAAACCTCACGGTGAGGCATAGAGGTTGGCTTGACAAAAAGGCAGAGACTAGGTCGACGCCACTAAGTCCCATCCTGTCCTTGATCACCTACATACATGTATAAAACAATGAGTTAAAGCCCAGTGAATGACCATGTAACAGGGTTACGAATGATGCCCTTACTGTAAGTAAAATCAATCCATTTCAGTAGCAATTCAATTCTTAAATCAAAAGCATATACTCATCTCATATAGAAACCATAACAGTCGTACGTAGTACATCCAACAGCAGAACAGTACAGTAGGTCATAAAGACCGAACAGTCAGAATTGATGGCCATGCCATCAATATAGTAAACAGAAATTTCAAGATTTGGAACTGACAGAGATCTTTGTAACAGTAGCTATAACAGATGCTAAGGATGTCACGACTACAGTTTATAAAACAGGACAATCATTCATTCAAAAAACAATGCCATTTCAAAAGCAAAATTTAGTATCATTCAAAATAAATATAACTTGAACATAACTTTACAACGTTGTTACTCACAATTGGCTTCCTGAATCACGTGGCTAGGACGCGGCGTCTAACCTACAAAGACACATGCAAACATAACATGCTCAATTCACAGTCATTTCATTCAGCCGGTTCATGTGTTGCTTGTTTATTCAATATCATTCACTACTTGTTCATTCAATTTGCTCGAATCGTTCTCTAATTCCTTTTTGGATTCATGAAATGCATATGCATGTGAAATGCACATGAAAACCATGCAAATGGAGGCCCTGAAGGTCGAAAAACGAAAAGAAAAGGAAATCGAAAATCTGCTCTGACAGCCGCACATGCGGGACCTCTACCGCACTTGCCTCCTTAGGTGCAATTAAAGCAGAAGGTGCAATTTTCTGGGCTCTACACACCGCGCATGCGAGGGACCTGGCTGCACGTGCAGAACCTCCACTGCACCTTCTTTCGCATGTGCAATTAAAGCAATGCTGAAGCCAGAATTTGCCCTGTTTTCCGCACATGCGGACCTCCCCGCCGCATGTGTAGTTCTAGGTTTTCCAGAACCGAAAATCTGCTATTGTGTGAAATCCAACCTTTCCAAAAACCAACTCCATTTTTTTATAAATCAAGGCCCAAAACCCCTAAAAACATGGTGGATGAACAATTTCTAACTTCAAACTAAAACCATGACTTCAAAACAAAACTTAAGTTTCCATTAAAAGATCAAAACCTCTATTAATGGCAAAAATCATGAACTATGCATATGTTGAGTTCCAATCTCAAAATCCAAGGGATTTCCTCCTAATACTCACAAATATCATGCAAGAAAACATGAATCTCATGAAAATATGTTAGGCATGCCATGATCTTAAACCAATTCTTACCATTCCTTCATTATCTTGCTCACTCATAAATTCTACTCCATAAAACTACTAATTAAGCTTGATTTCTCCTTAATTAAACTTAGATCCCATAAATTTATGAGTGTAACATCTCAATTTCAAGAATTTAGAGAAGAATTTCTACCTCACTTGTTGAATTTGAAGACGAACCTCTCTTCCTCCTTGTTCTCTTCTCTCTTCCTTGAACTCTTCCTCCTCTCCCTCTTTCTAGAACTCTCTCTCCAGCTATATCTCTCTCTCTCTACCAAACCCACTAACTCATCTTTCCTATTTGTTGAGTAGGTTAAAGGAATTCATTAATCACTAATTCCCTAATCTTCAATAATTAATTATAAGCTTGAATTAAATTAAGTCAAACTCAATTAAATCAATTCTCACTATAACCTAATTTAACGTAAAACAAATTTAATCATGCTAAGGTGAATTAGGCTCTAATTTCCTATTCACATATTTAATTCAACCTCCAGATTTAACGATTCCGACAGGTCTAATTCCCATTCTATCATATATGTTAATCAACACACGATTCAAATGATACATGGCACATACCTAACACACACATTGCACATAAACAACATATAAGCACATAATCAAGGCAAATCATATGATTAATTTAATTAATCGAGGAGGCAGTTGTTACAGTGACTATGGATACAGCCTATGGATTGAGTGATCGCCTAAACATATCTGAATTGTCTCTGTGGAGTGACTAAAAAAAAAAAAAAAGGGTTAGGCGGAGCCCTCTATACATTGACACTGCCAAAGCATCATTCCTTCCCGTTACTAACAGGTCCAATTTGTTGTGCTAAATTATTTCATCCATCACCGCAAATTACAGTAAAAGAGATCATATGTTCTATTAGCATGCGTTCTCTCTTTCTCTACATATTTATAGACATGATATCATACAAGCTATAAACATCCAAATTTTTATTTATTTATTTTCAAATCCAAGAAGCCAAAGCAGAATCCCTTGGGCATTTGACAGACCAAGCATTATGGAAATAATAAGCTCATTACTTGCATGGTTGGTGGGAAAAAAAAAATCAAACCATAGTAGAACCCCTATGTCACTGCATAAGTGAAAAGAGCAACAGCAAAACAAGAAAAAGATATGTTCAATTTGAAGAATATAGGTTACAATATATCAAGTTGGCAGCGTGCCACAAATAAAAATGCATTAACACCTTATCAGGTACATGACAAAATTTGTAGCAAATCAGCAATATTACCAAGTACTTTGTCAAGAATGGAGTTCATGAATGGCAGAAACAACTTCAGCGATGCCCTGAAATTTTCTCCTTTCCTTCATAAGCATCTTAGCAAAGTCAAGGGCTCGCCGCTCACAATCTGCTCGGTTACCGGTATCAGTGATTGATTCAAAATCCTCAACATGAGCTACCTCGACAATTCTCCTGTCATCAAGAGGAAAAACATCATAAAAATTTTGATCCATAATTCCAGAATCAGAATTTACTAATGTATTCCTTGTAAATACATAAAAGGAACTAAGAGATAATCAATCATAAACTAAATATGGAAGAAATAATTCCAAGGACTTCCCTGAGGTTTTTAACAATTGTAGGGACCGACCTCCCTTGTGGTTTCTAAAATTACGATGTCCTCTCATGTCAGAGTTGTCAACCAGTTAACTGCAGATGTACAATTAACCATTTTGTCCTTTCAAAATCAAATTCACACGACACTCCGTTTGTAGCTGAACAAACACAAATCAATTTCTGATTTCCTCCCTCTTTGTAGCCAAACAATCACCACTCAGGTCTAGAATTTTTCCCGGTCACACCCACCACCACCACTAGAGCCTACACAGCCCTCCCTCTCTCCTTTTCTTTTTCCCTCTCTCTCCCCTATTCGACCACTGTTGTTGCTGCTTCTATTCCAACTATTGTTGCACCTCCACAATCATGTTCCTTTCCACCACCACTAATATGTCACCCAAAAGGTATATTTGGAGAACATTTTGACATATTAGTTGAAACAACTTTTACCAAAACTCATTTCTAAAAAACTAAATTGTGAACATCAGCTATTTCATTAAAGGAAAATGCTAACAACCGCCTGTGGTGAAGATGGATTCATGTAACCAACCCCATTTGATAGAACTTAAGGCTTGGTTTGGTTTGGTTTGGTTTGGCTAACCACTGCCCGTAGTTAATGTTGATATGGATAAAAAGTGTATTGAAATATGTGAGAAGTGTATAGAAATATACAAAAAGTGTATAAGAATATGTAAAATGTGTATTGAAATTTACATCATTTGATTATTAACAAACACCCATTGGGTGGTGGTCATTAGCAGGACCCTTCACTAAATTCCACTTTGAAAGGGAATCAGAATTCCGCTTGTATCCCAAAACATGTCTTTTGGTGACTCCATTATAATGACAAAAATGGTCTATCATCAACTTTAACCTTTACATCCATTAAAAACTAAGCCAACATGCAAGAAATAAAACAGATTTCCAAGAAAGAAATAAAAACTACATAGGATGTTAAGATGAAAATTTTATGAACAAGAGACCCCTTAACTAACAATGCACATTTAATACAAGCAAAGAAACACACTGTTGGCTGTTGCATCCATAAAAGGAGGTGCTTGGAAGTGAATGAGCAATCTTAAGGTCACTAAAATAAGTTTCAAATGCAGACATTCTACACACTTTGAGAATTTTATTCAGCAAATATAACCAAGTCCACCATACATATGTATGAGTGAACAAAACGAACACCAGTAAACAGATGTTAATGAAATCATAGAAATAAAATGGATGATCATATGAAAAATTATAACTTCTATTTTCTTAGCATTCCTATGATCAAGGTTTGTTACAAATCTTTAAAACCTGGTCCATGCAAATAGGAAATGGTGCATCACAAAGGAATTTTGGCAAATGAATAAAAAAAAAAAAACAGGAATAGCAGGGATAAAGAAAGAGGGTACAGAAATTCTAGTAAGCAGAGAAGGAAATCACTATCTCACCTTATCATTTTGGCAGCACCAAAACCAAGAGTGCCATGGAACAAATCTTTCATGAATTTCTGTTTTACCAGCAGCTGAAGTTGAGGGTTGTTATAAATTGCCGGAAGATAAGCCTCACCAGAGCCATCCTTGTGTTTGTCCCACAAAGCAGTAAATTTTTTGTGGAATAAATTCCAAGTCTCGTCAATTGTCCTCAAGATCCAATCTTTATATGCCTGCAGAGCAGCATGCCTTTAATCACAAAGCACAATAGTGGAGTAACCATTTATAGCAATGAAATAAAGTATTAATATCAATGTTAAGTTTAATATGGTGAAACACCTATAAAAGCATGCAAGCACACTTGCATATACACAGACCACTGACACAGTTTCTCAATGAGAAAAATAAAAGGAAAAACCATACAAGGATTGCAAGTTATCCTTTTCCATTATACAGCAAAAACAAATGAGCAGTGACTTCTTGACAAGGAATTACCTAAACGAGGTATCTTTAAGCAAAAGTGATCTACTAAAAAATCAACAAAATGATATAGTGAGTGTTTGGGAAGTTGCTATTTTAGTAGGCTACTTTAGTTTTTGGCTATTTTAGGAGGCTAAAATATTTGTGTTTAGGAAGATAGTTGGATTTTTTTGTAGTTGGATATGATGTTTGTGAGAAAAAAAGTGAAATGATTATGGGCTTGATGTGACATTTTGTCTTATTGGCCATTTTAGTCTATTTTGTCTTTTAGTGCTATTTTAGCCAAAAAAAAACTAAAAAAGCTTCTTCCCAAACGTCCCCATAACCATACTTCCTCTTTCTGCAAAATGTTTAATCATGCAAGTCCTGCATCTTATCTTAGGTCATATTCCATTGGTCATTAAAGCCGAGAATACTTCATTTCAGGACATGTGAACATACTCCGTACAGCAGTCATGCCATTTCCAACTTAAGCACTCAACAGTCAACTCTATAGTATCACCTTTTTTTCTAAATGCACTCCTAAAACTAGTTTTTTTAAACTGGTGCATCAAATCAAAAGTAGATGCACACCACTGAAACATCTCCAGTAGTTGGTGCTCTATTCAGGTAAGTTGGTATGCAGCTTTGCTGCTAAGCTGATATAATTGGCTTCTTACAATGTTTTACATCTAGTAGATCTTATATACAAGGCTATTGACGGGATAGCCGGGGGCCAATGATCGACTTCAAAGGAGAGTCATTGGTAAGAGAGATATCCGATGCTCCATAAAGACTTCTTTGGTCTACAACCAGGGCTGCCGTCCGATGTGCACCACGAATGGGGTTAGAAAAAAAATGAGTTATTGCCTTGATCCGGAGAGGGAATGGAGTTGAGACAGCTTTGCTCATGAGTTAGCGGTCAGGCGGAAAAGGACCTGCTGGCTTCTTTTCTTTCTGGAGAGCTGTGAACCTTTTTGATTATTAGTAGCAGCTCGTGAAGTAGCCCTCTTTCTTTACAAAAAAGTGAATACAGGCCCCTTTACTTTCTATTATATTAGTAAAGCCTAAACGCTCTTTACTAAAATTTTTTTTTTTTTTTTTTTTAAATATCACTCTTTACTAAAATATAATAGAAGGTAAGGCAGTCAAGCCCTATCTAAGTAAAGCTACGGCTCCTTGGTGGGAATGAAAAAGCGGTACCCCTATCACAACAATGCAAGTTCAGTTGACGGACCACTTTTTGCTGGGAGAGGAATCGTTTTTGTAGTAAAAAAAGCTTATGCACGTAGCTCATTGGAAGTTAAGAGTCTTATAGCCCAAAAACGGGAATAGTGGTTTTAGTAGTTCCTTAATACCTTATTACTAATCTATTTTTAGTCAAGAAAGCCTTCACCTAGCTAACACACAAAAAAGCACCAGCAGGGAACAAGGATGAAACGCCGATGGAAGGTACATGAGAGTTATTTGTGGACAAGAAGAAATCAAAATATAATTACGGAATTTCTGAATATTAATGTGCAACACAAAAGAAAAGGTTTAAGAATTACTAAACATGTGACTACATAATGACAACATCCAAACAAAACATCTGGATCTGATTGACTATCGAGTGATCAAGGAATATAAGGGAAAATGCCGCATGAAGCAGATTGAACTTTTTCATACTCGAGGAAATGCATCTCTTACCTGGATCTTTTCCAACATGGTACAAAAAGAGCAGTATCAACTGGGTAGACAGGCAAATTTCTTCAAATACAAGAAGCTAGGTAGACAAGTTAGTCACATCCACCTACTAGACTCATCAGTCACCTTTGCTTCGATAGGTGTAATTTCTATATTTTTTTGAAAAGAAAATTCATTCATTTCTTTATTCCCCATTAACCAAAAAGGAGATGGGTCAATGATTAGGAACTTGGGGGAAGTCGGGCTGATCAGGTTTCTCCATTCAAGAAATCATAAAGAAACAAAAATAAAGAAACAAAAAAAAAAAGAAAAAAAAAGTGCAGTGACAGCCCAGAGGGCAATGAAAAGTTCCAGATCTATTACGCTTGATGAACAAGAGAAGCCCCAAACCAAATCATTAGTTGTCCAAAAAGGAAAGTATGATAATAAGATGAATCAAATGACGAATAAGAAAAAACAAGAAAATGACATCTTTTACAGAGACAAAAGCATACAGATAAGAACCCAACTACATACACAATGCATGCTTAAAGCATACTGTGCATTTCTCTTTGGACAGAACTAGATTTCACAAAGTATAAACCCCAAAGTAAATGTGAACAATTGAAGCAATCAAATAACAGGAACATAAATCTTGAGAAATTTCAATCAGATGCTGGAGAGTACCCATTAATTGATGGTATTGAAACTGCCATAAGAATAATTGTCAAAAGATAGCTACGGTGTTTACCAACACTATGACCTTACACACGACACGACATGACAGAATGGAAAGGCATCATATTCATGTAGTTGACCCAAACAGATGGGAGAAGGTTTTAGTTGAGTTACCAAAATGGCTAATCGGACATCAGCTGGTACCATGATGTCACTGGTGAACAAAACAAATTACGTATTTACAATAAATTAAAATCAGAAAACCAAACAACATGTTCAAGTAAATATGACATGACTACATGAGGAAACACAGGAAAGACAAATACTACAGAGGCAAAATAACAGGTCATTAAGGGTTAGAACACCTGAAAACAACTAAATAAGTATGAGACAAATGTGCAGGTAGGACATACTTTTCGGTCATTCTCCTGATCTGCATGACCATCTTGAGCGAAGAAAGCCAAAATTAAATTTCCTACAAAGGCTCCAATATCAAACCCCATAGGCCCATAGAAAGCAAATTCTGGATCTATAACCTGAGTTGAATCGCTTGTAACCATCACAGAACCAGTATGGAGATCACCATGTATAAGGGCTTGGGCCCTTTCGCAAAACCTAAACAATTGGTATCAGCTAATGTGAGGATAACTTTTCACATCTTCCATAAAGTAAGTAAAACAAAAAGTGAATTACTAAAACTGTTACAAATTATCACAAGAAATTTTCTACTATTATGGCTGCTATACATGGATTTCAACTCAGCAACTTCAAGCTTCAAAGCGTTATCCTCACGAACTGCCTCCACATCATGATCAAGATAGGGAGAAGTCCAGCGTTTATGAGGAGACACTTTGTAAGGATCAGAAAAGACAACCTGCTCAGTGAGCCTGCATAACTCCACATTCCCACAAAATTCAGCAACTGCAGAAAACATTCAGGTAAACACATAAGTTTCATGAATTCAAACAAATCAATATTCTTTAAACTTGTGATGAGTTCTATATGCATAAAAGTGATGAACACATGGGACCTCCAAATGACCAAAGCGAGTCCAATTTCAAAATTTTATATAAAATAATAGGCATTTTGATGCATGTTCGACACATGTTGGGACATGTCTAACGAGCTTCGGTATCCCACAAAAACATGATATCATCTTACAAGTGCCTATACTTCTTAGTTTATAGCACTCAATTCGTTCTCGTCATTGCTTAGTGTATTAAGCATCATGATTTTAACTCATCAACCATCAAAAAATTAGATGGACTCTAGGAAGGATAGATTGAGTACAAACCTAACCTTTGGCATAATGCACAAAGTGGTTACCCTCATGTTTGTGCCCAAGTCATATTCAAAATTAAGTAAAATAAAATAAAGAAGCTCCTGCAATAAAGTTAATAAAATTTTAAAACAAGAAAGAGATAACCGTCAAAATGGTTACCTGCTCGTTTGTGCTCCATGGTAGTACGGTGAGGAAGTGATGTGAAGAAAAGAGTCCTTGCCATATATTCTGAAATGCGTTCTGCAAGCAACGGGTACTCAATTCCGGCTATCAACCCTTTCCTCAATATTATATGTGGAGGTTCCAAATAGTGCATGCCAATCAAAGACATAACCCTGTCAAAGTGATAAACTTCCAGAACATGACCAGGGCACAAACGACCATGCTCTTTTAGAGTCACTGCCTCAAAGTAAGCGCGCTCCTTTGTCATCGGCCATGATTCCCCTATGCAACGTATGTATGGGAGAGCCTGCAAACTCCCACAACCAGAACTTTTATAAGTAAAAGAATAATAGTAAAAAGCACATTAAAAGGGGGTGAAAGTGGAAATAATGCTTTCAATTACAACATTTAGACACTATTGAACGTATGAGGATTTTCAATCAATCTAATCGGATGCATTTTTAAGGCATGAATCCAGAGCTTGAAGATTGAATTGTATTCTAAAGAACCTAATAACTTTGAGCAAATTAAAAAGTTCAACTTTTTTTTTTAAATAAAACAAAATTCATGTTAGGAGTATGTGATTATGCCCAATCTTCTTCCGTAATTAAGTTAGATTACTACTACATTTCATCCATGTCAGTTATATGGATTCAATCAGTTTGGATTCCAATTTCCAACATATCAGGAGTATCTCAAAATACTTCTCTTACTAACAATTTAAAAGAAGCCCACCTTTATCAAAATCCTCTGCTAATCCATGGGAAAATAATGCCTGAAAAAATTTGGATGTTCTGGCAATGAACCAGCATTTCCCATTTTCCAACTCCCACCATATTTCTTTGGGACAATTACAATTCGGTGTAGATTTTTAAAAATATCAGATCAATGGTAAGATTTATGAACATTAATAATTAAAGTTCTAAACTTTTTCAAGAATTCGTAATTATTTTGTGAAAACACCACTGAATTGTAATTTCACCTATTTCTTTTCAGCAAATTGTTGGTATTTTCCATTGCACTCACATAATCATAATACACACCCATTCAAAACCCTTGAGAACATGCTAGCACGGTTTAAATAAAAGAGAAGATCCAACAAATGCGAAATCAGGGATAATAATTGCAAATCAATAGAGTGCAAGTGAGTGTGAGTAATAATTGGATCATTTTAGCTAGGTTCTCACTTGCACCGAGCACTTGTCTCACTAACACCCCATTTATCTGCAATTATTGTTCCCGTACACCACATGTATGTATAAATGCTTGAATCAACTAGCTACGAGTGAGTTTTCAATAAATTCACATGTATGAAAAATGAATAACAATCCGTGTACAATAGGAATTCAAAATTTGACAATCTTCAAAGCTTTACATGAATTTGAACGTGTCAATCGAGTGTCATACCTGTTTGGCGACGAACGAACCGGAGGGGCTGGAAACAATATAGACGAAGTTGAGATTTCCATCGCCGACCTCTTTGATTTGGAGGTCATCGAGTTCGTTGCCGAGCTTAGACGACAGAGATGGAGTGGCCTTTATGTACTCCACCAAAGACTTCTCGTCCAGTGGCCGGAACCCTTCCGACGCCATTGTCGGCTAAGCTTTGTGGCGGTGACGGTGGTGATGGTGAACTTCGGCTTAAAAATGATGTTGGAGTTTTGACGGTGAGAAAGGAAGCTAGGGCTTGAAAAGAGGGCCGGACTGGATTAGATTCTTTAGAATAGTGAATGAAAGTAGATACATTGAACTTGGCCTGTTATGAGCCAAGCTTTGCATAATCTTTTTTTTTTTTTTTTTTTTTTTTTTTGGGTATTATTATACCATCTCCAACTCTTTCCAAATTTTCTCATCTAAATTTGAGTAAAACATTTGATTTAATATGAACTATTTCTAATTTTTTTTTATTAAATTCTTATCAATTTTTTTTTAAAAAAATTCTTATTATTTCAATTTTTTTGATTTTGTCTCTTAATTTAACGGATTGTGTCATTTTAGTCTAATAAATAACGGTTGTTAAATTTGGTGGACGGAAAATCAAACTATGTGTCAATTTAGTCCATGTAGTTTACACAATGTACCAATTTGGTCCCTATCAAAATCGAGCAAATTAAAACAACAGGAACCAAATTAACGCATTGCGTAAACTTTAGGGACCAAATTGACACTTTTTTTTTTTTGTATTTTTGGTATTTAGTGAATTTTTAAAAGGTTTTTTTCATAAATTTTTTACTTTTTAGGTATATTTATGTTAGGTATGTCTAAAAATTAAAAAAATTGCTTAAAATATTAAAAAAAATTCTGTAAAAACAAAAAAAATAAACACAGAAAACAAAAAAATAGAATTTTCTGAAAAGTGTTTTTGGAAACCTTTAACCAAGCAAAGTAATTGTTTTCCTAATGACAATCTATTTTCGGTTGTTTGTTAGAAAAAAAATATTTTCATATTTATTTTGAAAATTTGTTATGAATTTTGTATTAGCTAACCCCACTCCTTCATAAAATTTTGAAAATTTATCAAAATGTCAAAACAAATTTATTTGAATTTTTTTTTCCAAATATAACCGAAATCTCTTGGCATGTGTCTTGAAATATTCCTTTTTATTTTGAATAAAATTGCATAATGCTTTCAACACAAATACTTGCGTACGATGTAGTTCACATACATAGGATGAAAAAAAAAAAAAAAAAGGTTACCAAGTTCAGCATACACTATGTTCGTGGCTATGCTAAAGCTAAGCAAAGAACAAATTAACAAGTTGAAGAACAATGCTAATGAGTATCGAAATAGCGACACCAGTACTAACTGCGCCTTTACAAGGTATGAGAGTGTTACTGCTCATATGTGCAAGTGTGCGTGCAAGGCACATCCGCATGAAAGCAAGCAGTTAACTAACATTCGTATCCCTGCGAATTTTCGTAGCCGTTTGCAACCTCCATTGCCTAAGTGGTATTTAGGTTGTACTGTCTTGCCAATAGTAACAACCCCTACCTCGGGGGACATTGTGTCGAAACCATTAAGTTATACCGTAGGGAAGGTAAGAGAAGTTATAGAGAAGGTGACAGGTGAGTACATAAGGTCATGTTTTGTTTTTCTAAAAAATGAACCAGATTTATCTAAGTTTCGATACTTTCATATTGTTAGAAGTAGTCAAGGACCTTTTTATGCGAATCCAAATATATGCATCACTAATTGGACTCGACTACCGTTATATGGAGTGGATTTTGGGTGGGGAAAGGAAATTTATATGGTACCCGGAGCAATTGGGTATGATGGGAAGGCACTCATCCTCCCCGGTCGTGATGAAGATGATTCTTTTCTTATCCCATTACGGTTGCAAGAAGCACATATGAATGCCTTCAAAAAGTTTTTTACGACGATATCTAATGCCATGTTAATGATATCTATTATCTTCAAAAAGTTATGTTCTTATTCCATTTGTAGTATTTTATTGGCCAAATACACAATATAAGATAATATTCCGTTATCCTAAATATTTATTTCTCAAAGAAAGTTATTGCTTGTAATGAAGAGTTATTGCTTGTAATGAAGAGAGTTATTGTTGTATTGTAATGAAAATAATTTATTAATAGTCTTTTGAAGTCGCGTCCGGATCCTCGGCCGCTGTTTCCTGCCGCGGTTCCTACCACGGGACAAAAACGACGACGTCGTTTTTTTTTTTTTTTGGGTCTCCTTCTTTTCTCTTCTCTAACCTTTGAAGGAGAGGTTGTCTGACTTCATCAAACAGTTGTTGAATCAAATCTTTTGGAAATGTTTCTTCACTTTCAAACAGCAGATATTTTGGACTCAACTTGGGTAGGCAAACACTTTGAAGCTTCTCTCTCCTCTACTCCTCTCTCTCTCTCTCTCTCTCAATTAACAATGGCAGAAAGTACAGTGACCATTTTGCTCAAAAAGCTTTCAAGCTTGGTTAAAGAAGTGTTGAAATCATTGGGTGGAGTTCAGGCAGAAATTGTGTTCATCAGAGATGAGATTCAGAGCATGAGTGCCTTCTTGAGAATTGCTAATGCAATTGAAGACACTGATTAAGAACTCCAAACCTGGGTTCACCAAGTCAGAGACCTCGCTTATCACACCGACAACATTCTCGACACCATCATCGCCATGGATTCTTCCATGAATCTGTCTACAAAATTTATTATCAAATCAAAATCCCTAATTTGCAAAAATTTATCAAATCAATTCACCATTTTCCTTTCATCAGATCAAAAAAATTTGATATCAATTACCCTAAATCATTAAATCCATAAAACTCAAGAAACCAAACTACTTATCAAACCCATTTAAAAAATCAACAACAAATTCAACTCAAATTGAAGAAGAAAAAAAACAGGAACAACTTTATATTAATGAACAAATGAGAATGATGATGAGGGCACTCACTTCATAGTGGCAACAATGGGAGCCGAGCAATTTGACAAGGCGAGAGATCAAGGGATTTTCTTCAACTGGTATTTTATCACACTCTATGCCGGTATTTCTTCAACAAATTCATATATGTATATATATATATATATATATAACATATAAAACAGAAACAAATGAGAATGATGCTGAGGGTTGTGGAACAAAACTCGTCGCTGCCGCAATCTCGCCTTGCCGTCGTCGCGTCGCCATCGGAGTCATCTCCTTCGCGTCGTTCTTCTTCGTCTCTCAGTTCTCATGTCTCTCTGTTAGGTTTGGTTAGGTGACAGGAGAGAAAAGAGGGGAGACCCAAATTAAAAAAAAATCAAAAACGACGTCGTTTTTGTCTCACCGCAGGAACCGTGGCAGGAAATAGCGGCCGAGGATCAGACTCCACAAGTTTAGCCCAATGGTACAACAATTAAGTTATTTTATCATTATTTTTTAAAAATTTTTTGCTATTTTATTTCATAATATTTGTTAGCTAGGGTGGCCACAGGGAACCTCTCAAGAGTAGGTCGATAGGAGGCTCAGCCTCCGTGGGTTGATTTTTTGGTTTTTTGATTTTTTTTGACTATTTTAATCTGAAGCTAAAAAGCCTGATTTGAGAAGAACTTTTTGACTTTTTTAACTTTTTAACTTTTTGGTGAGATCTCTTCATGGTAAATTACCAAACTGCCCTTCACATAATTAATACATGTCAACGAGTTACTTCTGGTCCTCCACGTCAGTTGATGGTGATGGACCAAAATTTTTTTGATTTTTTTTTTTTGGGTTTGGTTTTGGCATTTTTTTATTTTTTTTTTGTCATTTTTCTTTTTTTATACATTAATTAGTTCTTGTTCTTTAATTTATGTTTTTTTTCCTTTTTTTTATTGATATACAATAATTTTTTTTTTATTTTTCAAAAATGAGTTTTCATGTGTTTTATTTATTTCTAAATTACGTTGCGAATGGTAATTTTCCTTTTTATGTTTTTGTTTGAACATTTTTTTTTTCTTTTGGGTTTGGATTTGGCATATTTTGATGTTTTTTTTAAATTTATTTTTTGGGTCATTTTTTCTTTTTTTATACATTAATTAGTTCTTGTTCTTTAATTTATGTTTTTTTTCCTTTTTTTTATTGATATACAATAATTTTTTTTTTATTTTTCAAAAATGAGTTTTCATGTGTTTTATTTATTTCTAAATTACGTTGCGAATGGTAATTTTCCTTTTTATGTTTTTGTTTGAACATTTTTTTTTTCTTTTGGGTTTGGATTTGGCATATTTTGATGTTTTTTTTAAATTTATTTTTTGGGTCATTTTTTCTTTTTTTATACATTAATTAGTTCTTGTTCTTTAATTTATGTTTTTTTTCCTTTTTTTTATTGATATACAATAATTTTTTTTTTATTTTTCAAAAATGAGTTTTCATGTGTTTTATTTATTTCTAAATTACGTTGCGAATGGTAATTTTCCTTTTTATGTTTTTGTTTGAACATTTTTTTTTTCTTTTGGGTTTGGATTTGGCATATTTTGATGTTTTTTTTAAATTTATTTTTTGGGTCATTTTTTCTTTTTTTATACATTAATTAGTTCTTGTTCTTTAATTTATGTTTTTTTTCCTTTTTTTTATTGATATACAATAATTTTTTTTTTATTTTTCAAAAATGAGTTTTCATGTGTTTTATTTATTTCTAAATTACGTTGCGAATGGTAATTTTCCTTTTTATGTTTTTGTTTGAACATTTTTTTTTTCTTTTGGGTTTGGATTTGGCATATTTTGATGTTTTTTTTAAATTTATTTTTTGGGTCATTTTTTCTTTTTTTATACATTAATTAGTTCTTGTTCTTTAATTTATGTTTTTTTTCCTTTTTTTTATTGATATACAATAATTTTTTTTTATTTCTCAAAAATGAGTTTTCATGTGTTTTATTTATTTCTAAATTACTTCGCGAATGGTAATTTTCCTTTTTATGTTTGTTTTTAAATATTTTTGAATGAGGCGTATTTTTCTCGTTATTTTTTATTTATTTACGTTTTTGTCATTTTTTAATTTGTACAGATTAATTTGTTTTTATATTTCGAAAATGGGTTTTCATGTGTTTTATTTATTTGGAAAAATGTTTTTTTATGTCATTTATTTAAAATGATGTGAAAAATCGTATATTGTTGTGGCACATGACAAAAAATGAGGTGCGTTTTGGTTTTTTTGTTGTTTTGAACTTGTGTTTTTATGTTTTTAATTGACGTCGCACATGATAATTTCTGTATTAGTTTTTTTTTTTTCCTTATTTGTTTCACCTTGTTTTCTCTTTCGAAAAGGGTTTTTTATGTGGTTTCTGGTTTTTC